GATAAATTCATTTATCGTTATCCGATACAAGATCAGAAATTAGCCCATTCTGTATATATTTTTACTTCTTTACGATAACCGCACACAATAGAAGTGAAAACTATGTATCTGCCCTACCATCAAATACACTTTATACAATAGCCATTCGGTTTGAATTTATTGCTAATCTTTTCCATTCATAAAAAAGCAGTTACTATCAATAGACGACGTGCTAGATATATATCAATGATTTAGCTGAAGAATATCACGTACTGTTATTATTGGACAAAAATAGACTTTAGTTGTAGTATGTAGTAATCTATGATGGCATGACTCGTATTAATAAAGAAGAAATCAAATATAAATAAAAACGAAATGATGATAAAGTATAGATTATGTACAAACAATTGAAACATCTTATCAATCATCGCTTGTACATACTTAACAATTAACGGGGAATTTATATAATAAGATAGAATTTCTACAAAATCAAAAAAAATAACATCTGATGTTTGTAATTTGTCATCAATCAACGCGAGACATAGATTGAATATTGTCAAAAAGATTTTTGCTTATCAAACAAAACCAGACATCTTCAAACAATGTCTGGTACTAGTAGAAAAAATTTATATGTAGTACTAAATTTGTCTGTCTTATAAAAAACTTATTCTATCACGTATTACATATTCCCTTTTGTTTCTAATCAATGTTGACAATAAACAGTTTATCATCTTTCTTTTTTGTTCTCTTCATTATTCTTAAAGAGATTTGACACATACCATATAGTTATTCTGTCATTTGAATTTATTTGGACTTCTTACTTAACATAAATTTAATTCATATGTATCCGTTTTTAATAGCCGAAACAAATTTAACTTTAAATGATACAATAGGTCCATTATTCAACTTGGGACCTACACTTGTTATTACTACTTCATTAGGTATTGTTATTGGAACAATTTTTTCTATTTTATGTATAATAAACTATGTAACTCAACCTAGTTTGCGTACACATAACACTTACATAGTAAGTAAAATAAACAAAAACAAGAACAAATTTCTTTTATTTAATATTTATAGTTTTATTTTATGTTAATCTACTGTTTAATATCATCATTTATTAGTGTACCAATTTTTCTAATGGGTTATTATTTAAATCTTTTTCAAAATTCTATTTCTCTTTGTCAAACATCTACTATTCATTATTTAACAATTAATATTGGTATGGTTACATCATTAGCATATGCAAGTGTTGAACGACATTATTTAATTTTTCGTAAAAATGGTTTATTAACATGGACACGTCAATTATTTCCTGCTATTTGTATTCTAATCTATTCATATATTGTAGCAATTCTATTTACATTAATACCAACATGTACTTATACACCATGTCTTGGTTGTCATACAACGGAATTAAAATATATGATCCCATGGTTAACCATAAGCTTCTTTTTACCTCAACTTGTAATGATTATTTCAACTGTTTATTTAATAATACGTTTATATCAACAACGAGCAAATTTTAATAAAAGACCTGAATGGTCAGTTTTACAAAAAATTGTTGCACAAATGACTGTTTATGTTATTTGGTCATGCCTTTATTATTGTCCAGTATCATTTTATAATTTAAGTTTAATTATTGATCCATCAAAATATTCTCCAGATCTTAAAACAGTTATGAATATTGTTAATACAGTTATTGTACAATCATATCCAATATTAACATTTATTTCTATGTTATTATGTACGCGACGTAAACAAGCACAACAAAAAAGAGACTCCGCATTGAAACTGAATAATCTATCGGCAATAACACCAGTACCAGCAAATGAAACACAAAATTAGATTTATTAAAAACATTACTAACATTTTATATATATATATATTCTTTACATTTCTTCTACTAAATAATAGAAAATATATAATCAAGCATGTGCGATTATGATAAACCAGCGAGAGAAGCAACTTTGTTATTGAATAATGTCCCCGCTAGGATTTTAAACTGAGACCTTCGCTTTACAAGAGCGATGCTCTAGGCCACTGAACTATAAGGACTTATTGAATATATGGCGCCATTTTCAACGCATGCATCTCTCTGAATATGATATTTATCACTTTAAATTTGCATCCTTTCTCAGATAATCTTTCCTGTATGAGTCGATGATTCAATGATTACCAAAATATTTTTTATTCTTAAAGCACAACAAGTTAAGATATTTCACTTATGCTTTGTATATAATGGAATGTTTGTTTATTTGATTCTTATTTCGAATATATCCTTTATCACACTCGTATCTTCATCTTATTCAGTTAAACATTCTCATTTTTTATTTATTATAAACCGTATACACTTCTTCTTGCTTCAATATGGGTAATAAACCATTACAAACCTATAGAAAAAAGGTCTTTTTTAATATAATTTTCATTTAAAATTTTATAACTATCTCTTTTTAGGAACCATCATTACGGGGTACTTATAGGGCTGATTCTGAAGTAGTAAAAGTAGCTTCATCACCATCGTTTTCATTAGCATCTGGTACTGCAACATTCTCATGTCTTGCTGCTGAACATCATCAAATACATGATCAAGAAACACTTGATCATTGGCGAGCAAAAGCATTGCAAACAATCGATGATCTATATGAACACAAGGCATCATTTTTAAGACGTGAAGCACATGTTAGAACTTTAGTAGGTCAATTAAGAGCATTCATGGATGATGAATTACCTCGTCATGGAAGTGGGTATTTTGTCGATGATCAACATGTACAACAGCTTCATATGTCTGTTAATAGTTCTCAAGCATGAACATTATTTTTATTTATACTTTTTCTTTTTCAACCATTTATTAAAAGAATAAATTACAGTAAAGTATAGATGAAAAAATATATTAGTCATAGGTATTTAAGCATTCATTATCTATTACTTCGTATTTTTGTGAAGCACATGATATGGATATTATAAACTGCAAAATATTTACTTTATCCTTCTAAGTTTATCACGATGAGAATAGCTGATTAAATTCAGTATTATTTAAAAACAAGTTTAGATTGGAATTTGTCATATCTAATAAAGTGATATCACGAATTCATACCATGTTAAAAATATAAATCTAATAAAATTATAATATTTTATATGTTGATAAATTTTGAATTCGAACACGTGGTCTATTATATATACTAATGTTCGAAATAAAGAAAACATACAATTACAATACTTCATGAGTATATATGTTAACGAAATTATATACATATTTATTTACTGTGTTTAACATAATAATAAAATAAATAAAAAAAAACGAGGTATCATGAAGACATAAAAAGTTTTCTACATCTTTCGAAATAGTTACAATATATTTGGAATAGAACATCTGTTATATATATAATTTTATTTGGATTAGTATGACTAGATTTTTCGTTTTATCCAGATTTTCTATTAATAAAATGAAGTAATCTGAAATGATTTGTGTCGCCCTCTCGAATCATGATTGTATGATTCAGTATATTTTTGCTCCTCTACTTGCTTAACGACACACTCAGCCACTTCACCTTTTCTTTCTTTTTCTACTTTTTCGTTTTTCTTAATATTATAAAAAAATCTACCTGTATATTTAAGATTAAACACCATATATACGCATATTCATATCATATACGCAATGCCGTTCTTTTTATCAGCCATGACTTACTCAAAATCTTGGTCACAAGAACAGCTTTCAATTCTTTATTTTCTCTTTTATAGTTCTGTTGCGTGCATACGTGTATATATATACATATGAATCATACTTCATTTTCGTACTGCTTTAGTTTTTAGCCTATATATTATAATTATACAGATCATAAACAAACCTGACTTAAAAGTGGGATGAGACTGATGTATATTCATCTCTTTCTTTCTTTTTCTTTTCATTTGAAAGGTTTAAACCAAGTCACAAGCGATACGATAGTGTAATAGGGGCATGTATATAGTGATTTGTTATCTTTATTTATTTAATATTATCGTTTTTTTTCGTTAAATATATCTTTAAAAATGAGTATAAAAGGATGATAAAGAAGCAACGTGATTCAAAACCATGAGAGATGTTAAAACAACAACAAGAAACACTTATACTTATGACAATTTCGCCTAAAGTAACAGTTTCAACGGTTTTTCTCTTCGAGAAAGAAACAGAAATTTTTTTTCTTCATTTCTACTAGTCTGTTTTTATTCAGTTTAGAATGGTAAAGTCATGAGTTTATTAGAAAATAGAGACGTTTTTCCTTTAATATTAGATGTATAAAAATACACGTTCACTTTTATTTTATAGGAATGTCAATATATGCATTGTTAGTTGACATCTATTAGATATATAACTAATGGATGTGAAAATTAAAAAAAATGATTTATACTCCATATATTTCATTTATCTTTTGTAGATCTTAAATAATGATAAATAGTATAAAAGAAAAAACAGGCGCAGACATTCTTGAAATATTTTTTCCCCTTGCCAGGATTTCAAGGTTGAAAATATTGATAGAAAGAAATAGATAAAAGAATGTTCTAGGATAGATAAATGAGCTTGAACAAATAATTAGTGTTAGACGAGAAGAAAAAAGGATTAACATGATATTTTAGTGTTGAATTAATACATTTATTTTTATTTGATTACTAAAGTAGATTCTAAATGTAACACCTGTTAAAGAGTTTCTATAGAGATTGTTTTTGTGTGTTATCGCTCTTCCTACTTTTATTTTCTTCCGCGAATGAGTAACAGCAGAACACTGTTTTTTTTTATAACTAAAGGTGATAGTGAGTAATACGAATAGCAACGCATCAGATTTTGCCACGTACTTCTGATCATATAATACGTTTTGACTTATGAGATAATTAGTATAATGATCATTATTAATATATCATTGGTATTTCTTTTTTTTTTATAGAAGAATGAATGTAATGAAGACTATAAATATTCCGCGTGTCTAAGGACAAATTTCTATAAAATATTTTCCCTTAATAATAAAGTATTTATTCTATATTTTTAGATGGCTGACGAAATATCTTCTTCTTCTTCTCAACTGAGTATCGTTGTTGATTTAACATCATCACCGTTCAATTTTAAATCACTCTATAGTAATCTTTCATCTCAATTACCCTTAAATTCTGATCATCATTATTGGCATTTTGGTGGTCTTCGTTTTTATACAATCCCATTTCAATCTAATTATGATGAAACAACTATCAATAATATTATATCAAAATTAAGATCCATACAAAATTCTCCAACTTTATTCCCACCATTTTGGATTTCATATAAAGAATGTCAACCACAAACAGATTCCTCATCTTCATCATCATCTGAGGTTATCAAAAAGAATCTTAAATTAGGGAAATTTCAAACTGACAATACTTTTCAAATAGAATATACATCAGGTTCACTTGTTCAACTAAATAAATATGTTTATGATCGACAAACAGAAATTAAAAATGGTTCATCTATACAATTTTATTATGATAGAATTGATTTTGATTATGGTGGTAGTGAAGAATTAAATTTGCGGAAAACATTTAAAGCTGAAATCATGGACAGATGTGCTGTTATAATGACTGAGCAAAATAGTTTTACATTATTTATTAATATGACTGGAAATTCAATCGATTATACAGGTACAATTAATGATAAGAAATTTAATCCACCACCACAACAAGGCTCTTTCTTTCATAAAACAACTGAACCAAATATTTCATATCGACGTACAGCATCTCAAGAGTCAAAACCATTTTATTCAACAATTCGTCTTGTTATTTCAATTCCAAATGATAAACTTAATGATGAAAATCGTGAAGAACAATATCGATGTTTAAAAGATTGTTATACAAGTTTCATAGAATTTTTTCATCGTAATCATATAAATGATTGTTTTGGTAATATTACAAGTGTAACATCAACAAAAGATTATATACCTACATTATCATCGTTTATGAATAATGAAACAATGTCATTTATTCAACAATATTGCTGGCAAATGTTATTATCTATTGGTTATCGATTTCAGCAAAGATTAACGGAAGGTTTTATTCGACATATGAATTTAATCAAAGATGATGATGAATTTTATCAGGTATATTAAATTCTATATCATACAATCAGTGACGGATTTATGGAGAGGGGCAATGAGGTTGATCGCCTCCCCTTCTGAATTTTTTCTTGATTTTTTATAGCAAAAACAGGTTCACACTACTTCGGCTGGAGTCCAAAAATAGCTTTTAGCGAAAATCGCCCCCCTCGCTTCCAAAATCCTAGATCCGCCACTGCATACAATGTCTATCATAAATCTAGAGAAATGTTTGAACACAAAATAGGATGCACAAAATTATTCCTATGTAAAAATTGAGTTACGAGTGTAGATGAAATATTTATAAGTTATTCCAGCTGATGATATATTGACAGTAGTATGAGTTTGTAGATTAGATAGCATCATTGTAATTCAGTATGTTTTAATTTTTTCTATTATTATTTAGACATCTCTTCATATATGGCGTCGTTCCAGTGAATATTATTTTATTGATTTACTTGCTGAGTTACATGGTTACCAACGAAAAATCGCTAATATAGCACAATTAACATCTCCTATGGATAGTAGATATCAAGAATCAATGAAAGAAAAAAACGGTGAACAAGAACGTTGGAGTATACATACCCCGCCATGTCATTATGCATATGTTCCATCAGTCACATTAACACCAACAACAATCTGTGTTAAACCATTGAAATTAGTTAAAACGAATCGAGTTTTACGTGCAAAAGAACAATTTGGTGGACATCTTATGTTTGCTCTTGTTGATATAAAAGAAGAAAATTGTAGAACGGATATATTTCCACATGACTGTATGTTGAGAAAAATAATGATGAAATATTAATTTATATCTTCTTCTTATTATTATTTAGATCGTGCATTACGTAGTAAAACAGAAAAGTTACTTCAATATGGTTTTGATTTAGGTAAAAAAGGACGAACATATCGATATTTACATCATTCACAATCACAATTAAAAGACAAGCAGTTCTGGTTCTATTATCATGATGGCCAAACAAATTATTCATTTGAAAAGGCATTTGCTTGGATGGGTGATTTTCAAGAAGAAAAAGTTGTTGCTAAACATGCAGCACGTATTGCACAATGTTTTACAAGTGCAGAAGCAACATTTAAAGTAAATAAAAAAATTTATATTCATTCTTTTTTCTTTATTTTTGAACTAATATAGATTCCATCAGAACAAGTTGAATATATTAAAGATATTCAAACAGATGATCATAAATATAATTTTACTGATGGTGTTGGAACAATGTCAACAGCTGTGCGTGATATGGTAAGATAATATTTTTTTTATCAACTAATGGATTATTACTTTTTTTTTATAGATTGATCCACATCGAAAATTTGCAGCTATTCAAATTCGTTACGGTGGTTGTAAAGGTGTAATATCTGTTAATCCTGATTTAGATGATGCTCCTCATCAATTACGTATACGTAAATCAATGAAAAAATTCAATTGTGCACATGATATTCTTGAAATATGTCGAATATCTAAACCAAGTATATATTATTGTTTTTTTTATCATTTTTTTATTCTACAATATCTTTATTCTATAGGACCATTATATTTAAATCGACAAATAATTGTTTTACTTTCTCATCGTTCTATTGACGATCGTAGATTTCTTATACTTCAAAATGAACATCAACAAGGTCTATCAGAATCTCTTGTGTATCCAGATCGTGCACATGAATTATTAGCTGAAAAATTAAATCGAAATTTATTTCCATTACGTTCATTAATCAATGATGCACATCTTAATTTAATTCAAGAACCATTTTTTCGTCAATTATTAATAGCAATTGGAAAAGTTGAATTAGCACAAATGAAAGAACGTACACGATTGAAATTACCTAAAAATTCTGCAAGAAATATGATTGGAATTGTTGATGAATATGGTGTATTAGAATATGGACAAGGTAGTAATTTTATTTTAAATAAAAATAAGATCATAAATTTGTTTTTTGTATTTTAGTTTTTATTCAATATACAGAATTAAATGGAGACTATATGAATAATAATGATTCAGGAAAAGCAGTTATACTTCAACAAAAAGTTGTTGTAACAAAAAATCCATGTCATCATCCAGGTGATATTCGAGTCTTTTCTGCTGTTGATGTACCACAATTAAGACATTTAAAAGATGTTATTGTTTTTCCTCAACGAGGAGAACGACCACATCCAAATGAAATTTCTGGTTCGGATCTTGATGGTGATGAATATGCTGTCATCTGGTATCCACCATTTATTCCAGAAACACCAAATGATATTCCATATGATTACGATTCACAAATTCCAATGTTACGTATTCCTGATCGTCCAGTTGAACGTTCAGATATTCAAAAAATTGTATTAGATATTAGTGAACAATCATGTGCTGGAAAATTATGTACAATTCATTTAGCTTATATGGATCTTTTTGGTGTTGCACATCCAAGTACATTAGCTATTGCTGGGTATATATCCCAAGAATTAGATTCATCTAAAACAGGACATCATCCATTACAACCTAAAGAAATTATGCAACTACAATCAGTATTAGGAAATAAACGACCCGATTATTTTGATAAACCATACCATGAACCTTATCCATCAAAACATATACTCGGTAAGATGACAAAGAAAGAACTTTCGTTAATGTATATATTTGAATTTTAGGTCAATTATTTCGTTCATGTCTTCGTTTTGAATCAAATTGGGAAACAGTTCAAACACCACCAACAACTGTATGTGAATCACCAATTGATCCATTACTTGTACATGATTTACATTATGAATTTACTACAGCTGTTAAAGAAATCGGACGTATATATCGTGAAGCTATTATGGATATTTTATATGTTTATCGTTTTTCATCTGATGTTGATTTACTTTGTCGATTTGATTCATCATTACAATATCGAACAAC